TTTGCATCAATGTAGGCAGAGGCATGTTTTTCCAATGAGCCTAGGTTGCATTTAGTTAATTTTGATTTGCATTTGTAAACATTGTATACTATACTACGAGTAATAGGGACTTTATGGTTAGTTAACCTGCAGGTTGTCTCTGTGGGTGTAGGGTGTGGATGTCCATGGGAAAGTGCAGCTTGTTTCGGATGACCTCTTGGTTCTTGCCAGTAAACTTGTTTGCACTGTTGATACTCTTGGTGTGCCAGTCGGTCCAGTACAGACTGTCTTCAAACACCGTGATGGCAAAAGGATGTGGAAGACCTGGCAGAGGGAAAAGTTCACAGATATATTTAGCCTCTGTACTCTAAATTGCATATTTTTTATCGTGTAAAACATAATGATTAAGAACAGCAGTCCAAAGCTCAAGCAGTAAAAGTCTAAAGACATAACCGTGTTACACAAAGGTGACTGACTTCCAATATTTTGTTCCAGATCAGAGCTAGTGACTATATCAACTAGAGAAAACGTAACGATTCTTCCCATGAATTGCAGATTTGGAGTATTGATCTTGTTGCTTTATTATCCCCCTGTTGTTTAAGAGTTAAAATGGCACTTTATGTTACGCTTGGTCAAATTACTTTTGGGTTCTCCACAACACTGAATAAGTGCATTTTATTGACTGTCAAGTCTACATCTTTTATGTTGAGGTAAATAATGCTTGTTTTCAATGCAGCTGGGTTTTCTTGAGACAAGATCTCTTGCTCTCATCACACACACAAACAAGAGTTTTTTTGTATTTATATCAAGGCACACTAGAATTCTTGACTCTGATTGGCTGTTCTAAGGTGTTTATTAATTTTCATTATAGATTAGATAGTTCCAGTCCTTGATTATGATGCATTCTAAGCTGTTGTAAAATACTCCATAAACACAGCTGTGACCTCATTAAATGTGCCAAGCATGTGTCTGTCTAATGATAACCATCATTAATAATTAAACAGCTAAACCTCTGCAGTAATGTCGGAAAAAGTTTTACTTTGGAGTGTTTCATGTTTAATCTTCTTTTGTTGTGCTTTAAAGAACACTATTTTTAATGTTGACTAACATACTAAAGCACATGTAAAGTACTGAAGTGTGTTATTACATTACATTTTAAGGTCATATCTTTTAATGCATCTTTTAAACTGTAAATTCATCAATACAAATGTGTAATTCTAAATGCTTGTCAGCACATTCAGCAGTACTTTAATCATATTTAAAAGACAACAGTAAGTAACTATGAAATTACATATGAAGACATGCATGTACTTAAGTCCTACTTAAGGGGGTCAAAAAAGCACTCTAAAGTCTAATTGCATTTAATATACATTTAAATTATAATACATTTAACTGTAATTAACATGCAAGTACCTGAATACATTACATTCCTTTCACACTTTATTTCCATAAAAAGTACTCTTTTTTGAAAGTATGCTGAAGTGTACTTCGTTTTCACAAGGCTCTATTGGGATTTTGGGATAAAATTAGACACGAAAACTTCTAATTTGTATATAAAGCAGACTGGCAGAGGTAAACTACTTTCAAACCACTAATTAGCTACTTTCCATCCTTCAGGGATTAGAAACTCTTTCCCTCCGAGTAACAGTCAATCTGAGGTGGGGGAGGGTGAGTTCACTGCACATGGTCGGGACATTTATGATTTTCTCAAAGCTGGTTAAGACATGCTCCTAAAACCCCAATTAAATCTCTCAACAACAAAAAAACCGCTAAGCAAGCGCTTAATTTACCAAAAGTCATAAACGAAGGCACTTACTATAACCTCCTATTTAAAAAAATATCTTAAACAATATTTATCTTCTTTCAGCATTGCTTTTCTGCTCTACACTCTTAAAAATATATAGTTTCTTTATTGGTATAGATGGTTCCATAAAGAACCTTTAACGTCGATGGAATCTTTCCATTTCACAAAAGGTTCTTTATGGTGGAAAAAGATTCTTTAGAATTTGAAATGTCTTCACAGAAAGAAAAAATGGTGAACTGTTCTCTGAAAGGTTCTAAAGGTTCCAAAAGGGTTCTTCACTCTTAGCAACAAAGGTCCTTTATTGGCATTGATGGTTCTGTGAACAACCTTTAACATCCATGGAATCTTTCCATTCCATAAAAGGTTATTTAAAGTGAATGAAGTTTCCTTAAATTTTTTAAATGTTCTAAGAACTAATAAAAATGGTTATTTTAATAACTTTCACTAAAAGGTTCTTTGGGAAACCAAAAATGGTTCCCTTCCGAGGGAACTTCGAACTGCATCCTCTAGAGGTCGCT